TACAGCAGAAGCCTAGGGCCTTTTACCAGCTTTGAAAATCTTTGAAAATCAATGGGTGTCTTTAAAACATGTCTCACAGTTTGTAAGGGCTTGCAAAGGCCTTTTCCTGGCTCTATAAGAATGTTCTAAAAGCTTTCAGAGTTCTTAAAAACATTTAAAAAGCTTTAACAGTCTCCATGAGGATCTACAGGTTATGGAGGATCTGGAATGGTCTTCTAGAGACTTCTGAAAATCACGCCAGAATCCCAAACAAACAATTAATAGCAATAATACTTTAGATGATTGCCATGTAACGAATTGGGGTTCTGACACTCCAGAACTCCGATTACAATTGCACAATTTTATAAATGGGGAGCTAGCATGCGTCATAGAAAAGTTTGCTGATTATGAGATACGAGTAGATTGATGAAACTTCTCAGCTAATGGGTCAAATTTGGAAATACAATACACAATTGCACTAGAATCTTGATAAAGGTGCAAGGTCCAACTCCTAAGAAGCTGATGTCATAAATTGATCTCTGAAGAAAGCAAATGTGTCGAATCCTTGTACAGCTAAAATGTTGTATACGTTATCGAGTAACTGTATTATGATAAATTCGGTATTGCAAGAAAAAGTGCTGACCAATAGTATTGTGATGTAATCTGCGTTTAGATAAGGTAGATCTTAGTTGTACAGATAAAGGACCAGCGGCCAGCGCAGGACTGGTAAAAAATGAAATTACTGCCACCACAAATATTTCTTGCATAATGTCCATTTTCATATCTGGTAAGTTGTCGACGTTTCTTTAATGTGTACCAATTCAAAACTGATTTGATTCAAGAAATACTGACAAAGTGAAATAAACATCTCATAAAGGATAAGGTAAGGCTTATCTTTATTGGAGTTGCAGTTCTCTAAATTAAAGCAGATTATGTATTGGAATTTGCAAAAAATTCCCAAATCTTAGCAAGTACCTCCTCCTCAATTTAAAAAAAATCTGCACCTACGTCCCTTATGTACATTAAGTTTCTAAACAACCGAAACTGAGTAAATGCCGTTAGTAATGAGAGCCACAGTTCACTGTCAAAACATAAATGCCTAATCTAATGGATAATGAAAAATGGTAAAACAATAAACATTGTACGCTTACCTGACATTTTTGTACCAAATTTACTGGGCACAACAAACGAACCAAGGCTATTGTGCGCCTCGCGATACTCAAGTGTATGTACTGTACCTAACCTTGACCATTTATTTATATTGCACGATAAAAATTTAATCTAATATTTAAACTGTGGGCGGTTGCTTGGCGAGACAAGAGGTTTTGGTCAGTTGAATGTGGTGGTGCGAAACAAACATATTTATTTTGCCATAGGACGTGACTTCGACTTTAGTTCATCATGAGGAATTTCGGTAGCCTGTGGCGTTTTTTTTATTGACCTGTATTTCGAAGGTTAAACAATGTTCGTCTACTCCCTGATGAGAAGTAAGACCTGCGCCTTTCAGAATTACTTTAACAAATTTCCCATGTCTTTCCATCCTGACCTTAGACTTCCTTTTTTCGTACTCTTTTTATTGCAGGTTTTTCAAATAAAGCAACATGCGAAATATTATATGTTATATAATATTATAATAACGTAATATCAAAAAAATCGACCTAGAGCGGTGTGACTTTCAAAGGTGTTTGAAATGGCATTACATACTCATCTATGGCCCCCTTTAAGATCATGAATTTCAGCATTTCAACACGGATTTGTAAAAAAAAAATCGCTAATTAACGTACTCCCCGTCATGTGGAAGGTATTACACCGGTTATTGATAGTCGTGGTGAAATAGAAGTTATCTATCCTGATGGATTTAATAAGTTTCAATAGCCCACTTCCAATGCTTTTTGCTTCATATATCTCCAATAGATTAAAAGTCTCTTATCATGAATACCACTCAAACTATTTCAGGGCTACTTCGGGAGTGCCACAGGGCTCAAACCTAGGACAGCTACTATTAATATTTTTGTGAATCACCTCCTGGACGGCCTTAAAGATTACCGTTTCGGCCATACACCACTTCTACCAGGGTGCCATTTGCTTAAAAGTTCTATGATGCTGCAGTTATTTCAATATTCCATTTTAAAGCTTAACCAATTCCCTAATCAATCCTAAAATTAGTTCTAGTTTATCAATCTGGGGACCACATCTTGTTTCATTGGAACATTATGTTTAATAAGCAAATTTGTTTAAAATCTAAATATTCAAAGCGTTATCTAATTTTTGCAATAAATTCATACTTATCACTGTGCAAAATTTTATTTCAATACGGCTAATTTCTACATTAGAAAAAAATTATTCTAATAGCTCAAAAAAATGTAAGAATAATTAGTGCTTAATTTCTGCATAAGAAAAAATTTATTTATAAAAAAGTCAGCGGCTACGCAAAGCTGACCGGTTCAAGCTAATTTTTGAAATATCTTATTTTCCGTAAAGGCGCAAAGTAAGCGGCGCATAAACGACTAACTTCTAGACTTAATTATTACCAAATGATGTTACAGGACGTGACAATAGACTTCTGAATTAATTGCGTTAATGTATTCTGTCGTTCTCAACCGCCGATAGTAAAAAACACGATACCAGTTTTGTAACCGTTCCGGTGGAGATATTTACATTATTTTTTCAGCATCCGAAAGCTCTCGTCATTTGGAAAAATTAATATTTTGTTATTTCCGCTTTGTTTATTAATTGTTAGAAGATTTTAATTTCTCGCCGTTAATTTAAAACAGCAGATAAGCAAACCTCTCGCTTGACCCGAGAATTGCGATCAACAATACATATTAACTGGACTAATTTTGGAATTTCAACCCGACCAATTAAGTAAGCATAATTAGTCATTGGAAGTGCGCTAATTTATCAAGATCTTGAAGCCGGTTTCCAGATTTTTAGGATGTCAGGGAGAAGTTTTAATGTTGTGCGTTATCATACGGATTCACCGTGATTTTTGGAAAGTTTCCCTATTCGAATTTGCGGAATTCTGTAAAAGATAAGAACGTGATTAGAAAGGGTCTTCTGTATTTTCAATTTTGGTGAGTTGAATTTGGTATTTGATTTTAATGTTTACCGCATTGTTAATTTCAAGGTAGGTGTTTAACACTAATCATTATTTTGGTTCTCCGTCTGAATGTTATGTAGCTTCCGAAATTCCGAGACCGTCCCACCGACCTTGGACAGGAGCAAGGATTGATAATCTCCTGGTGGCGCTCGAGATTTCCGCAGACGTTTCCACCGTCTGTTGTTTTAAATTAAATTTGCCAAGGCACCGTTTTGCGTAGATTGCCGAACGTTTTTCGCATAAAATTTGGCGTCCGAGGAGGGGCAAATGAACCGTTTTAACCCTTAAGCAGGAGTTGAACTTCCACTTGCAATTACACATAATTTGACAGCTCATACGCCGACCATTTACCCATTGGTTACGCTAGAGGGGTGTACGACCGATCCGATAATACTGTAGCTACTCGAGGATGTACGCAAAAACAGGAGCCCCACAGAGTTCATTTCGTAGTTCATTGTTCTGCAACTGTAGGTCACGCACAGTATCTTTTTGAATTTAACTATTATTCATCCCCACATAAGCAAAGCTGTACCTGTGGAAAAGATTCATAACTGCGTACGTCGGCGTCGTACGTTATTACTTTTTAAATTTCTTTGAAGTTGTTTTGGTGCAATATCGTTGACCTACTTCATTGACGCGTTTGTGGATAATATTTTATAAGTTTTAAAAGCCGCTAGGTATGTATTTTTGAGATGACGCAACAATCAATTAACATTGAATATTTCTTTTAGGATTTTTCTTTTGGTTTTCTCTTGTCCTCCTCGATTTCTACATTGAACGTTTCGAATATTACGATCTACTTCGATGTCCTTAGTGAAATATCTACGTGGAGTTTCGATACCTACGATTTTATGTACGTCAAATTTTGTCGTTACGAAAAATTCATGCCTACTAGCTTAATTACGTTTCAAATCCTTTAGTTTTGTTTTACGAAAATATTTAATTATTTTTGAATTGTAAATTAGTTTCTTGAAATTACGTTACATTTATTTTTACCGCTACTGATTCCACAACTCGTTTTCGAACAAAATTTTGTATCTGCTTTTTAACGTCATTTGAATATATTTTATGCCGTCTTCTCAATAATCCCATTCTTTTGTTTTGTGTTTATATCTGATCTAGGGATGCAGTACTGGGCTCATAGGATCCCGAAATACTGGGATCCCGCAGCATTTTTGAGGGATTAATCCCGTATGTAAATGGAGCGGAATCCCGAGGGATTGCGGATTTTATCGACCAAGCGGTCACCATGTTGTTTAATTTATTAACAAAAGGCGAACGGAAAAGTGCAGCAGATGCCTACAGGTCGTTCGTCAATCGTAAGGTCATTGGCTTTCCGTTTTTCTATACATTCGCACACTCCGTGAATTATTATTTCGTCCTTTTTTGTTGACGTTCATCCAATAATTACGCGCTAACTTGTATGTGTAATTAACTTTGTTAAACAGCTAGTGAGTGCGAAAATCTGACTTGTTTTGTTACTGTTTGGAACATAGGCACCGTCATTTCCAAAAAAGGAAACAATAAAGTTGCAAATTTTCACGGCGTAACTCAGCGATGATTCTATAGTCGGTCCGTGCGGAGCGCAGCGCCAATTTTATTTGGATTGACAGCCGTAAGCGGAAAGCATCGAGAGCTCTTGGTGCACAAACAATAAATGTATTTATGAACAATTGTTCCATCGCGTTGTAGTTTCCGTCGGGTTACCATTTGTTGTTAATTGCCCCGTTATGTATTTGAAGTAGCGTCGTAGCGTATTGATTTAATTACAAACTATTAAAGAGATCTACTTGCAATTTTGCATCAAGAGGGTGCTTGTGGACACCGAGTGCTACAAAAAATTTAAAAATTGTAAACAACCACCACGTTGAACAAGGCTTAACTGTTGCTTTACAATTCAACATAGTTTTTGTAATAAAACACATTAAAAATTAGTGACACAATGTTGTTATTTGCAAACAAATTGCGAACAATCATATTTGGTAGCCTCCGATGGTTCACGAATGTGGAACTCTCATATCGCTGTAATGAGGCGTTTCAACTTGATAGGCAGGTTCGTCATTTTCAATAAGCCACACGGATCCACTCTGACCATGTTTTATTATTGCAGTAAGCTCCCTCGCAACGTTATTAGCCCTATCACAAGAAATTTAATAATTGCGGATAGTTAATCTACTAACATCCTTACGACTGTAATTGGAATTTCTTCATCACCTCGGTATGCATTTCGATTTGTTTTTTGCTGAATCGCTCTTCCATATTTTCCAACAAAAGCGGCGTTGCAGTACATCCTGGACAAATGGTAATGACTTTAACCGCAGTACTTTCGTAGTGTCCGTGTAGACCAAGCGAACGGCCCAGTCCCACAATGGCGTGCTTCGTCGTGTTATAAAACGGGGTATGTCCGGCAGTTTGCAGTCCCATAATCGACGATATATTAATAATCACGCCTTCTATGGCACGCCTGTACCTTTGTAAGTAATCTAGAGCCAATAAACATCCGTGTATAGTTCCATTCTAGAATAAAATAGGTTTCCATCTCTCCATCCGTTTCTACAAGCACTTACAATGTTCGTTTTAATCATTCTTTCCCATTCTATTTCGTTAAATATTCCAGCGCTGTTAATCACGATGTCCAAATTGCCGAACTTCTCCACAGTTGCTTCGAAGGCGCCTAAATTCAAATTACGTCAATGTTAATTTTACCATTGACAATGAAAGCAATACAACAGATTCCAAAGTGAGAGTCTCACCTTTAAACTCGGTCACATTTCCAACATCCGCTTTAACGAAGATGGCTCTATTGGCTCCAAACTCCTCAATAACTTCTTGACCAACTCTGTCACCGGCGGTTTCATTAAAATCCACCACTGTAATGGCCTAATCGGGAATATAGAAGAGCAAGTGGATTTACCAACCTTTAAACCATTGGCCATCAACTCCTTAACGATAGACAAACCGATTCCAGACGCTCCTCCAGTAATTAACGCGACTTTTCCTTCCAATTCGAACATGTTCCTCACATTATATAAGAAGTCGGTCAAATTTGAGAAGGTTTCTTTATCAAACGGTTTAGTGATAATCGTTATCTTTCGAAGCACTCGGATAAGAATAATGCAAAGTATTACAAGGTGTAATTTGAGCAATTTTGTTGTTTGTTATTGAAAGATGACGTGGATATTACATTCGTATTCTGCCCAAACATTCTCTTCCATAATCCCAATGTTTCGTTTTCAACTACTTTCAAGTATTCATGGTTAATGACGAAACGGAGCATACATTTTCTGGATAAAATTTCCTATTCGGATTTTTATCATTTATATCATTTTTTGATATGGTCAGAGACGAATTTCAGCACACGCAGGTGCTGCTCTTCCACTTAACCTCAGTGAGTGTTCGACGTTAAGTCAATGGTGTTTTAAGTGATTTCTTTCCCTGTTATATACGTTCCAGTTTAGCTGCCCGTGGCAACATTATGGTTCATTTTAACCTTTTTCGAGGAAGTTGAAGATGATCACTTTACGGAAAGGTTGTAAGTAAGAATTCCATAATATAGTATGGATCCCCCCGTGTCTCAACTTTAAGTTAATTGCAAGTACCTACATATCAATTATATTTGGTTGAGAATCACTGTCATTTTTTTGGAGAACCACTGTATTCTTCCAATTTGTATAGTATTTCGTCCTAGCGCCGTGGATTCTCGAAAGCGAGTTGATTGCGCATATTAGCTTTCGTTTCCTTTTCATTCATTTTTGGTGCTGCTGCTGGTCTAATTGCAAAATCTTTAAATATTATTTCTGGCGATTAACCAGTTGTGGTGTATTTCTCGAAGGAATCGAGTTATGCACTTTTCTCTCAATTTGGAGGATATAAAATTTTATTCAATACGTAAGTGGCTGCCATTTGCTAAGTGAATTGTTATCTCGTGTATTCCTTTTAAGATTACACTATTCGCAGTTTGAAGGGATTTAATTGTCAACCGTTGTCGTTTTGGCGTTTTATTGTCATAATTAACCCTCTTCTTAACTTGAGGTGTATACGTCTCGTCAAATCTGTCACGTACCACAATCACTATATCGTCGGCATAAGCAACTATGGTGTAGCCCGCCTCACTGAATGTCCTCAGCAGTCCGTCGACCGCCAAACGCCACAGCAACGGAGAGAGAACTCCCCCATGCGGGCATCCTCATGCAGCCGGAACCACTACAGCCTTATGTTAAGCGAGGCTGTAATATTCCTATGTTTTAGCACGGTATGTATCCATCTATACACGGTGGTACATATACTCCCTTACTTTCTATAGCAGCTTTAATCGATTCTAGAGTGGTATTGTCGAATTGTCTCTTTATCTAAAAACGCCCCTAAAGCCATCTCCTTATAGGAGATCGCCCTTTCAGTTACGTCAACTACTCCATGGATTGGTATTTACTGATGGTTTCCAGCCCTACAACCTCATCCCTTATGTGTCGATCAATAACTTTCTCCATTCGTTTTAGGAGCAACGACGTTAGACTAAGGAGTCTAAGCGACTTCTACGTCCATCCATGTCACAAGTGTGTATCCAAAAGCCCTTAGTAACATACATAGTGTGGAGGCTAGTAGGTCGAGATAGCAGAGTAGAAAGGATTCCATCCATCCCTGGGAATTTATATGGAGGGAAACTGCCCACCTAACTTTGGTTAGGTTCACTATCTACCGAACCAAAACCCCATCTCTTCCCTTCCCTTTGAGGAGTGGTTCCAGAGTAATTGGTTTGCCCGCATCATTTTGAGGAAGGGTTTTGATCCTAGTGTGATTGAAGCTAAATCTTCAAGGTCTCCTTTGCGATCTTTGTATAACCCCCCTCAAATTTCTTCAAGGAACCTATTCTACCATCTGTGCCTTTTTGTACAGCTTTTTGGAGTGTGGCACCTTCTGGAATTTGTCCAATTTCCTCACAGTACCTCCTAGACGAGTCACGTTTTGCCTTTCTTATGATATTGTTCTCGGTGTACACGGCTCCCCCGTGTTTTTTGCCTTACAAAAACATTGCTAACCTGTACCCGCAATCAAGAGATTCCCTTGTGCCACCGGAGCACTTTGTTAGAAGTTCTCCTTTCTTTTGTGAGACAGCTTGCCTGAGACCATGCGAAGATTTGATTTCATGACTTCCAGTTCCACCGAGTTATTGACTCCTGCGGAACAGTTCTCCAAATTGGTCTTCCGGTTCTCTTCAATAGAGGTCCCAGTTGGTTCTTCTCGGATTTCTAGATACGGCTTCAGTCACTTCGTTTGATCGACTGTCAAAACGAATATATCCATGGTCAGATCCCGTTTGGGTACTGAACAGCATGCAGTCACAGTTCCAAACGTTATGTTAAAGAAAAAAAACACAAGTAACCACTGATGCGTTTGGGTCGGAATATAAAACTTCACGGAAGGATTTTCAAAAATGCATTAGACTAGCAAAGGATCAAGCATGGGAGAAACTGATGAAGGATCCTATGGGTGAAACGCTACAAAATAGCGTACAAGAAATTTTTGCCTGAAATACCGTCTTCCGAATAAGAAAAAAATAACAGTGGAGGACTGGTTTCCAAAAGTGCAAGTGATCATCTGGAACGATAGGTGCCGATAACAGGCATGGATCTTTTTTGATAAAAGGGAACTTGGGGTAGTGGTCAATAAATTGCGTTACAAAAAGGCACCTGGGCCGGATGGTATTCCAGTCAAAGCCAATGGAAGAAAAATGTTGGAAACGTTTAATGGTCTGCTATCCAATTGTGACAGATCTGGATCTGGAAGAAATCCATCTTGGTGCTCGTGCCAAAAGCGATCGAAAGGTGAAACCAACGAAGTTCGGGCCTTTCTGTCTGCTGGAAGCTGTAGAAAAATTGTGTAAACACTTGAAAAGGGAAAGAATTTTGAAGCACCTAGAGGAAAAAGGGAATATCGGAAAATCGGCTCGGTTCTATGGAGGGGAGATCCACTCTGAATGCTATGAAAGTAGTTTTAAAGTTTTCGGGATCGCGGGGATAAAAAAACTTTTGCCTGCTGACGACACTCAAAGTAGAAAACGCACGTCACTCGATAAAATGGGATAGAATCGTATATGCGTTTGAAACATGGGATTCCCCTCCTCCAAAATTCCTGGAACAAATGGTAAAATGTTACCTTTGGCACAGATTTACACTAACGGGATAGGAGAAAGAACTAAAGATTACGTGGGGAGTTCCGCAGGGATCGGTGCTTGGCCCGACTCTGTGGAACATTTTGTATAATCCAGTCCTGGAACTGCAAAAGTTGCATTTTCCGACGACTTGGCTCTTATTACTGTAGGGAAAGCTGCTCAACTGGCAACAGAGATGGTCGGAGACCGAAAAGGGTAGATAGACATGGAATGGATAGAAAGGAGATACCGGATAGGAAAGGAACGAAAACCCTGGTGCTGGTATTGCAATTGCAAAGAGGACGCTCCCGAGCACACTCTGCTTTGATGTCTCGAATGGGATGGGGAACGGTTGATTCCCTTTAATACAATCAAGGAATAGCCTAGAGTAGGTACGGTATGCGAAATAATGATGAAATTGGAAAGAAATTTGGAGAACAACATATAAGAAAATTCTGCAGATGAAAGAACAATGCGAAAGGAAAAGAAAAGAAGAAAACAGAAGATGAAAACTATATTACCATGGCTAACAAAGGGTGTGCGAACATCGGCCCACCCAACCCGAAGTAATGCTCACGCGGTTCCGGGTTGGGGATGGAACTATGGATGACAGATGAACGGTTTTAGTGAGAGGCAGCCCCTGTTGTAATAGCTCTGCAGGTATCTACTCCATTATAAAACAAGTAAAGCAATTTACTGTAGGTGTGTCATATATCGTTCAATTTGGGGTTAACGAATATAGGGTACTCTTTGCCTACCTTATTTACGTGGTCAAGTTGATACTCAAAGGAAAAATAAAGGAAAGAAAGATACCAAAGAAAGCATGTTCAGGTAGAAGGATAGAAATTTATTGAGATACCGGTCTTTTAGGGGGTAGAGTAGGGCCAAGTATATATAAAAAAAATAACGTGCTAATTTTGTTGGTTTTACTCATTACAGGTGTCTCAGTTTCTCATACTGAGGCATTCGAATTTTGTACGCGGGTTCCCCTTTCTCAATCACCCACATCGATCCGTTCATCCCACTTTCTATTATCGCTGAAATTTGCTTTGATACATGACTCGACCTATAATAACACACATTACTTGCTAGGTATAGTTGTAACTTAAACTCTTACGATTGAAAACGATACCCCTTCACCACAGTCGCGAAAACCTCCACCTGATTTTCACTAAATTTGCTTTTGACGTTTTCCATTATAGGTGTTTCAGTTGGTCCCGGACAAACGGTGATAATCCTCACATTGCTATTTTTTTCCATACTCAGGGAACAACTGGCTGCTACAATGGCAAATTTCGTGGCGGTGTAAATCGGGTTGTATCCTGCAATACGCAAACCAGCGACCGAGGCTACGTTTATTATTACTCCTTCAGATGAGCTTTTTCGTTGTAGATACTCGAGGGCTAACAAATTTCCGTGTATGGTTCCATTCTACAATGCAAAAGTTGTATACAACTAGCGTCATTTATAACAAATAACTTACAATGTTAGTGTTGATCATTTTTTCCCATTCGATTTCGTTCATTATCCCAGCGTTATTAATTACGATATCCAAATTATCAAACTTCTCCACAGTTGCTTCGAAGGCACCTAGACACAATTTACGTCAACTTTTCGATTGACACCCTCACTCTCACCTCTAAATTCGGTAACATTTCCAACGTCCGCTTTAACGAAGATAGCCCTGTTTGCTCCAAACTCCTCAGTAACTTCTTCAATCACCCTTTGACCGGCGGTTTCATTAAAATCTACCACTGTAATGGCCTAATCGGGAATACGGAAGATAACAAGTGGCTTACTAACCTTTAGACCGTTGGCCAGTAACTCCTTAACGGTAGACAAACCGATTCCCGACGCTCCTCCAGTAATTAACGCGACTTTTCCTTCCAATTTGAACATCCTCCTCACGTTACTAACGCAGTGGGTTGAACTATAAAATGTTTGCCCTCAGTTATCAATCGGATAATGATAATGATTATTATCTGTCAACTATAGTTTTGAAATTTGTACTATTCAAACACATTCCGGTGCGGTTTTTTCCACTGCGTTCGCAACAATTTAATACGTGATTTATGTAAAATTGATTATTTACAGGAAGTAACACTAATAACGAGAAACCAAATTACGGTCCTTAAATATAGGGTGGCGCAAAAAGAATGTATAGATGTAGAGCATCCAATTTCGGCAACAAACAGTACAGCTTCGTATTTTTCAGAAATAGTTATCGCCCGCACGTTCACCAGATCTATTGGTTTCACTCTTTGCTATATTCTATTCTATTCTATGCGCAGGGGAGCCCGACCGGGCAGCACTTAGTCACACCAGAGGCCCATTGTGCGTACCCCCTTTCTTCGCAACTGAGTTCAGAGCCCGTTCCTCTCAATGAAGGATAGGACCCTGTTTAGCCTAAGTTGCTTCACCCTCCTCGGTTCCAGATATCTGTCTCCAAGGAGTTGATATCTGTCCCTGATCAAAGCGTCACAGTGGCAGACCACATGCTCGGTAGTTTCATCTGCCTCGCCACAGAACCTGCACGTGGACTCCTCCGCGAGCCCAATGTTATGCAGGTGATAGTTGACCATCCAGTGTCCCGTAAGGACACCGGTGATCTTCCTAATCTGGCTTCTATTCAGTTTTAGAAGCTTAGAAGACCCCGATTTGCCAAGGGGCCCTGTTAGAAAGGCCTTGGACTGTCGGAGTCCGGTTACTTGTTGCCACTGAGCCTGGAATTGACTGGTCAACCAATCTTTAATCCTGGCCCTAACAACGGAGGGAGCAATCCCTAGGGTAGGCTCGGGCCCGACGAAGACCCCACCACTGCCTTCGCGAGCCAACTCGTCCGCCCCTTCGTTGCCCCCTATTCCGCAGTGCGCTGGCACCCAAATCAAGCTTACCCTATTAGACTCACCTAATCTATCTAGAGTTCGCCTGCAATCAAGCGCGGTAGCTGATCGGAACCTCTCTACCGACAGGGCCCTCAACGCCGCCTGACTATCGCTGCATATGTATATATGCTTATTGTGATAACCTCTTCGGAGGTTTTCTTGTGCACAGGTCATAATGGCTAACATCTCTGCCTGAAACGCGGGGCTATGCTAACCAAGGGAGACGCTGACGCTGGCTTTCGGTCAATCACCACATATACCCATGTCCGTTCCCCTTTCTGTTTGGGACCCGTCTGTAAACCACACGATCCCCTCAGGTTTGAGGAACGGGCAATCCGAGTTCAGCCACTGCTCCATATCCGGGAGAATGACTTTATAACGCTTTGGTCTTAGCAAGATAGCCCGGATCACGTCCCTCCTTGCGAGGAGGGGATCGGCCCTGAGGGTTTCCTCCTGCCTCGATCCTTCCATTCGTCCCAATCGTTATCACTGCAGTGTAAAGCCAGTATACCAGTTCAAGCCCCATGTACAACCAAAAGCCCTTCTACATGCCCATAGACATGCAGTGGCCTTTTTGCTTATGCGCTCAATGTGCCCTATCCAGGTCAGGCGAGAGTTAATTATGACTCCCAGGTGTTTCACTGACCTGGTCAGACCCAGTTGACGTCCTCGAAGAGCGAGTCCAGCAAGATCCGCTCTCCTTCTATTCGTGAATGAAACAACCTCGGTCTTTTCCGGGTTAACGGAAAGGCCATGGCTACTGCACCACCTATCCACCTGTTCAAGAGCCCCCTGCATGAGCCTCTTTCACGGTGTTTGGAAACTTCCCAGTTATGACGATCGCGAGGTCGTCCGCGTATCCCCCTCGTTCAAGGTGCGGAGGAGCCCGTCTAGTACCAGGCACCACAGCAGTGGAGACAACACCCCACCCTGCGGACATCCTCTAGTAACCGATGAGCTCATCCCCGTCATCCCAATTGAGGATATAATGACTCTTTCTTTCGAGCATGGTTCGGATCCATCTTACGATGGACCCATCAATACCAAAGCTCTCAGCAGCCTCACTAATCGAATCGAACGTGGTGTTGTTAAACGCACCCTCGATATCTAAAAACGCTCCCAGAGCTATCCCCCGGAAGACATTCCCTTTTCCAGCCTGTACACCAGGCTGTGTAGAGCCGTCACCGTGGACATACCAGCCCTGTAAGCATGTTGGAACGGATGTAGTGGTCTACTAACCAGTACGCCATTCCTTATGTATGCATCCACCAGCTTCTCCACCGTTTTTAGAAGAAACGATTATAGGCTGATGGGCCTATAGTCCTTCGCCACGTCATATTTGCTCTTTGCTATAGGTTTGGATTTAGAGAGTATAGGCAACTGGTGATGCACATGTAATTCAATGGGGCGTGCATTGCCTCTGAACTTCATTCACCATTCCATAAGCAAGGGGTGTATATGATCGGAAAAATATGCATTAGGTAGATAGATGTACAGAGCATAGTTTCCATACAATATAAACTGATATTTTGTCCACTAATATATGTTTAAAAAATCCAGAAAACATGCGTCAAAAGAGTTCATAGTTTAGGAATTAATTGCAAAAATTAGGGAGCAATTTAAGCAATACGGGTGTATGGGATCGGTAGCGTGAATACTTATCTATATTTTGGCAATTCATGTGAAGCTCAAAAGTTTTCATAAAAAAAGTGGTGAATGAAGTTCTGAAAAATGGGCATGTAAACTGGAGAAATGGAAATAAACTACGCAGCTGTGACTAATATCGCGGTCAACAGTGTAGCTTCTTTCTCACAGAGGGTGCCACCAAGAGTTTTAGGAAGTCAGTAAAAAATACGATAAAGATATGAAATAGGTAAGCGCTTTTATCTTGCGATGGAGTTGTTCTTACTTTTTAACTAGGCTAGTACTAGTACTGTGTAATGGGGATAATAAAAGACCAAAAATTTACGAGCAAAAAAAACTAGCAGGCTATGTAAGTTGCCTATGCTAAATCATTTAGTGATTCTCTTTCAAGGTTGAACAGAGCGTGCGTGTAATAGAATTTGCTGACAGCAAGAAAAAGATCGTCACTGGTATATTATTATTTTGTCAACTACTTGCTTCGAAATTTATTTGGTTTCTCTTTCTTATTCATTGCAAAAGGTACCTCCTCTACCTATCGTTTTATGAAATAAATAATAGAAATGGGGATAGGTAACATTCCTTTACAACAAATATCAAAATTTTACGTAATTTTTAGAACAAAGGGCTGTTGTATATTGTTGTTGATGTCTGGCAAGATGCGACCTTGTGTGGGTGTTTATTTGTAATGCGATTTGTTTGACCGTCTACCCTATTCTTTATCTTTGCTGATTGCAGATTAAAATACCGTAATTTATAATCCATACCTTGTTGCAAATTAAATTTTTTGAACTTCAATAGTTCCATTGAATAAAGCTCTTTATTCAATGATAGTACCTATTACATATTAGTATTAGTTTAGTCAGTTTAGTGTAATGTGTAATAATTGACCTATACAGGGTCATTCAAATTCAAAGGCCACCATGGGGATCTCGGGAACTGTAAGAGATAGGTAGAGGTAGTTTACATTTGACAAAGTTACCCTTGATGGTAACATCATCTATTTTTAATAAGAAATAACGTTAATTCGTAAAAACGCAAGAAACTACTTACGTACGTTACTTAAGACAAAGGCAAAAAAGATATTTTACAAGCATTAAAAAAATTGATGTGTACATTTTTGAAATCAGAAAAAAATTCTCTATCAAATGACACAAAAAGTAAAAATTACTTCCATAAGAAACAAAGTTGATGATAGTTAACCGGAGACGAAACGTCAAACTTCAAATTTAAAAGTAGCATCTTGTAGAGGGAAAAAAGTGGCCATAATAATGTGTCATTTATTATTAAATATCTTTGTAAACAACTATTAACTTCAGTAAAAAACAAAAACGATTTTCAAAATCTCGTTTTTTCCGGATATCTCCGAAAGTAGTCAGAATTTTCAGTTTCAAAACTGTTTTTGTTAAGCATCAAAATACACAACTGTGCCAAATTTACCACCTACCTATCTCTTACAGTTCCCGAGATACCCATGGTGGCCCTCGAATTTGAATCGGCCTGTATATTACTAATTTACAAAAGACCATCCCTCGAATGTAAGACATGGGGAACAAATGTATATTTAGGTATAAACGGCTAAAAAATTAAAAAAAAATCGGTAGATATACCGTATGTCCCCGGATTGACCTTTACAAGAAGAAAAACTTTTACTATACTTTTTGACAAAAATACATTCTCCATAAAAGCTTTTGCTTGTTCTAATTCGAAATTTCCCTACCGTTTCAGAGAAAAATACAAAAAAAACGAAAATATGGTTGAACTCTTGAACTAAGTCCTAAAAGTCAAAACGCGTCTCTACTGTAATAACACTTCGTTAGTTACAAAGTCTTCGTTACCTGTTATTTGAATAGGCACTAGGATCGTTTTATAAGTATAACACACTTCGTAATGACATTGAATAAAAACCTCTTTATTCAATGGTAACAATGAAAAAGAATTGAATTTCCAAAGGTGCTTTCTTTAAAATGTCGGCGTTTTACCGTTCAGTGAAGGAATCAAGAGTTTTACTGAGGGCCCTTCCAAACAAAAAAAAAGCCCCTGTCGCCACTTGTGAACTAATTTTACGATCTTAATTTTGAAAGTCCCCCATGCCAATAATTACGCGATTTTTACTTCATACGTTACAAGCGGTTCATTATTCTCCTCAAGTTATGTGTGGTAGAGCGCTAATTATAATTTTGTTAACCTAGCAGTCTGTAAGGAGCCGTGAACGACCTTGCGTTTGTGTTTTGTATTTTCTTGTCGTGTGGTTATGCAAATCAAATTGCATTTTTTTTAAAGCTCCCTCTGTGTTGTTTGGGGCCCACTTAAAGAGAGTATAATGATTTAAATATTTGTATAGAAAACTGCTGTAGTTACGCTATTCATTATTAGGTACCAGCACATTCTAACGAAAAAAACTTTGTCCTTTACTATGGGTACTTCTCTTTTCAGGCAATCCCAGCCGCTGTTCCCCATCAAA